GGGTGAGGATTAACAAATATACATAGCTGAAACCGGTTTGGCTCAATGGATAGAGCGTCGGTCTGTGGATTGAAAGGTCCCAGGTTCGATTCCGGTCAAGGGCATGTATTAATACATTGGTTGTAGGCACATCCCCTGTAGAGGGTGTGCAAGAGGCAGCTGGTCGATGTTTCTCTCTCTTCCATGTTTCTAGCTCTCTATCCTCCCTTCCTCTCTGTAAAAAATCAATAAAATACATTTTTTTAAAAATAAAATATATATATACACATATACTAAGGAAATTTATTAGAAGAAATATTGTAATATCACTATTCGTCCTAGAAGTGTCAACCAAATTCACAATCGACAATGACGGATTGAAATACACATGTATGATTGGTGCCAGTGAGAGTTTTATATGTATCGCACATACACAAGTCAACTTAGCCTTTTATGTATATAGATCAACTTGCTTAATTAGACCTTTTTCTGATTTAGCTAAACTTTTTTCAGCCCAGTGACTCACCCCAACTTCTCCTTCAGGTAATTGTCAACAACACAGCAGTAAATATCAACATGAAGCATATTGTTATTGTAGATCGCGCAGGGAGAAGAAAGGGTAAAATATTTAACTATAGCAGTGTTTGACTATATTTTGAGCAGTGAGAAAAAATGAAGCCATTTTCAAGTTCCACCATTTCTTACTTCTTTTCAGTTGGGTCAAGTTTCTAAACTTTCTAAACTGCTGTTGTCTTGCTAATGAAAAGAAAATATTGTAGGATTCCACTGATTCTCCTATCTATCTACTCCAGGACTTCTGTGAGGATCAAATGAGATGAGGCCATGGGAAAATGCTTCACAAACATTTGGTTGAACTGTAAAATGTTTGCAACTGGCTATAAAGCAAGTCGGGTTCCTGGGCTGAAGAAACTCCAAAAAGGCTAATTGCTAGGGAGAGGAAGCCGGGCATTTCTATGTGACATCATTACCCGGCACCCACAGCTACTGTTTCTGAGCTGGGCTGTGCTGTGCTGTGGGACACATTTTGCACCATTGTGTTTTGGCAGCATTGGCTGCGATTGGCGCTAGATCGTGGTGCCGTTTATTTTTAAATGGCCAGTGAGCATCATGGCAGCTCCTGTGTTGAGCATCTGTCCCTTGATGGTCACTGTGCATCATAGCTACTGGTCCCAGGGAAGGATGGACACTTAACCTTTTATATACTGGTATATAGATGACATATAAATGAAATCTGTTACATTCAAATTTTCGGTCTTTTTAAAACTCTTATGTCCATGCAAAGTTATATCCTATACTTCTCTTACCATTTTTGACATTTCCTATCTAATGAAAGAGTAACATGCAAATTAACCATCACTCCACTATACCCACAAGCCACGCCCACCAGCCAATCAGGAGTCAACATGCAAATTAACCCCAACCAAGATGGCTATGGCCATGGAGTGAGCAGGAAGGTTGGTTTTCCCTGGCATTGGAGGAAGTCAAGCTTTCCACACACCCTGGCAGACCCAGGCCTCCATTCAAGGCTACAAAGTTTCAATTATATCAATAGAAGATAAAGAAATCCCATTTGAGGATTTAAAAAAAATGACTGGGGCCATGAAGTAAGCAGGAGGCTTGTCTCCGCTCCAGGTTACAAAGTTTCAATTAGAAAATAAATAAATCTCAGATACCAGGGCCTCCACTTGGGTCCCCGGGGTGTGTGGCCAGCCTTCAAACTACCACAGGCCCCTCGCCCAGGCTGCCCCACACCCCAAGGGAACCCCCACCCTGATCCAGGACACCCTTCAGAGCAAACCAGCTGGCCCCAACCCGTATATCAGGCCTCTATCCTATTTAATAAAAGAATAATATGCAGATTGATCATCACTCCAACACACAAGATGGCTGCCCCCATGTGGTCAAAGATCCTGCCCCAATGTGGACACAAGATGGCCACCACAAGATGACCAGCAAGGGAGGGCAGTTGGGAGGGACCAGGCCTGCAAGGGAGGGCAATTGTGGGTGATCAAGCCTGCAGTGGAGGGCATTTACCGGTGACAAAGGGTAGCAAAGGAGAGAAGTTAGGGGCAACCAGACCTGCAAGGAAGGGTAGTTGTGGGGGACTCAGGCCTGCAGGTTTGTTAGGGGCAAACAGGCTGGCAAGGGAGTGATTAGGGGAAGGCAAGCAGGTGAGCAGTTGGGAGCCAGCAGTCCTGGATTGTGAGAGATCCCAGATTGGAGAGGGTGCAGGCTGGGCTGAGGGACATCCCCCTCGTGCACGAATTTCATACACCGGGCCTCTAGTCCTATATAATAAAAGCCTAATATGCAAATTGGCCAAACAGCAGAATAACCTGACACTGTGATGTGCATTGACTACCATTGGGCAGTCGCTCAATACAGGAGCTGCCCCCAGCACGCATGCTCCAGGCCAGCCAAGGCAGGTGCCAGTCGGGGCCCCCGATCATCAGCCAGGCCTAGAAACCCTTCCCATGCATGAATTTCATGCACCGGTCCTTAGTCAAGAAATAATATGATATTATATAATGTGTGGATGTTGAATTATTTTATTTTACATTGTTATGCACTGAAATCTATAAAGATCTGTGTTAATTTCTATCTTGACCTATATTTGCATATTTTAATTAATATAAAAGTCCCATAATTTGTATTAATTTCTTAAATAGATTCTGATATTAAAATTTAATTTATATTCCTACTATCTTATTATTTCTTAGTTTTGCTTACCACCACCTTTTCTAATATTTTATTTACCAAGAATTATTTTGTTGCCTGTTAGATAACACTCTTGTTTTCTAACAAGAGTGTTATCTAACTTGTTGACTGAGTACTCCCTGAAAAGCTAAGACTTTATGTCATTACATTGAATTTTAGTCATTCCAAAGCAAGACTATCTTATCAGATTTACGATTTCAGTCAGTTGCTTAGTTTTTTATGTTTGCTCTATGGCATCTGACTTTCCTGTGTATGTATGTCTGGCATAAGCCAATTGGTAGATAATTTAATGTGGAAAGAGGGGCAAAGTTCAGGACAGATGATTATAGACTTAAACAATGACAGTTAAAGTTTTTAAAGAATTTCATATACTTTTCTTTCCATAGATATCAATATGATGGATATCCTTATAACGCCATCAATGGTTAAACCTAAGAAAGATTATTCAAGAACTCCAGGACAAATATTATCTCTTATCAGCTCATTGGGATTTGTAAGTACTTTTAAGATAAGAAAAAAAGAAAAATCACGTAACCTGGCCTTTCATAATTGCCATTTAGAATATAAAATGTTTTTCTTTTTAAATAAATGATCAAAATTAATTGAGTAACCCTACCAGGTTTGCCTCAGTGGGTAGAGCATCAACCTATGGACTGAAGGGTCCCGAGTTCAATTTCAGTCAGGGGCACATACCCAGATAGCAGGCTTGATCCCCAGTAGGGAGCATACAGGGAGCAGCGAATCAATGATTTTCTCTCATCATTGATGTTTCTTTCTTTCTCTCCCTTCCTTTCTGAAATCAATAAAAATATGGTTTTTAAAAAAATTACTGTAAGTATCAAGCATGTGAGGTTATACTGAGAGTTAATCTACTTAGGTCTGTGAACTTACCAGTAGGTGGTGCTTTTGTGAAGATAAATATTAACATTTATATTTGTCTTTCTCTTTTTAATAGCACCTGCCAGTTGAAGAAGAGAGTCAAGACTCTACAAATATTCTTTCAGCTCATGTATCTGAAACATCACAACTTTCTCAAGGACAAATTTGTCCTATGTCTGTAGAACCAAGGGATAGTACTCCTTATTCTAGCAAACTACTAAAATCATGTGAGTATAAGAGAAAAAAACAGTTTACTTCTAATGTCAGTTTAACAATAAAAAAAAAAAGCAAATATTTGAATAGTCTGTGGCATGCCTGTATTTCATTATGTAGACATTACTGACAGGAATTTTTCCAGATGTTTAAGTCAACAGAACAAAAATTCTAGCTAATGAGATAATCTTCAATTATCTATAGCATTACAATGGCCATTGGGTAGATTTCACTATATTGGGTCTTTGGAAATCTTACATAGAGAAGATATAGTACCTGTAATATTGTTATGTGTTTGTAAAATTTCTGAAAGATTTTTGAAATAAAGTAGTCAAAGAAAAGTTATAATTTTTTAAGTAGCATACAATAAAATGCAAAGCCAAGTACTAGAAGAAGACAGTGGGACACTTGACATTTATATGGTACTTAACATCACTCTTTATTACTTGGCAATTTCATTCTCCGCACTCATGTTCTTCATCTTGGGAATGTGAATAACATAGTGTTAGTTGTTTTCATGGATGTTACCTCATTTTGAATTGGTCCTCAACAAATCTGTACAGGTCTAGAACATATACTCTTTATTACTTGGCAATTTCATTCTCCGCACTCATGTTCTTCATCTTGGGAATGTGAATAACATAGTGTTAGTTGTTTTCATGGATGTTACCTCATTTTGAATTGGTCCTCAACAAATCTGTACAGGTCTAGAACATATACTGTTATCTTTTTTTTGCAAATGAGAAAGCTAATGTTTGCAAACACTTAGTTACACACTAGTAAATGGGTAAACTGAGTCCTGGTTGCAAATACAATTTTCTGTTCATTTGTCTTTCCTTTAAATTAGTGAATCTTGTTTCTTCTGTCAAAACCCACTGTAAAAATGAAAATGCCTGAAATACATATATATAGGTTGGGTGAACAGAGACTGATAAAATACCAGGTGTACCGGTTAATAATGTGGATTTTTTTTCAATAGATGGAGTTACACATATGTTGAGAGGTGTTTGTGTGTGTGTGTGTGTGTGTGTGTGTGTGTGTGATTTGACATATATGCTATTTTGTTGTATTGGCAACAAGCTTCAAAACTTCATATGTCAAATTTTCTGAAGGTGTTAACATCATAGATATTTTTACGCTTAAAAATGTCTTAATTACATGCCAAAAAAAGAGCATTTGTGTTGTCTGAGAAGCCACTGATCTCTGAGGAGATAGATCTTATTGAGCCAACTCTGCTGGATGAGCTGATCTGCCACATTGGTTCTTTGGCCTCTGTGTACCACAAGCCTCCCAATGCTTTTGTGGAAGGAAGTCATGGAATCCATCGCAAACACTTGCCAATACATCATGGGAGCACTGATGCAGGTGACAGCCCTGTTGGCATCACCACTGCCACCAACTTGGAACAGACTCAGGTTATTTCCTCTCAAGGGGACCTTCTAGGGGACCTTTTAAACCTTGATCTCGGTCCACCAGTCAATGTGCCACAGGGATAGGCATGGTACATGGTGGATATGTGGCTCCTAAGGTTGTCTGGCTGCCTGCAGTAAAAGCCAAAGGCTTGGAGATTTCTGGAACAGTTACTCATCGTCAGGGGCACATCTAAATGGAAATGAACTTCAACAACAAAGCTCTGCAGCATATGACAGCATTTGGCATTATCCCTAGCACTCCTCTGGCCATCCATACACCATTGATGCCAAATCAGAGCATTGATGTCTCCCTGCCTCTCAACACTTTGGATCCAGTCATGAAGATGGAACCTCTGAATAACCTACAGGTAGCTGTGAAAAACAATATTGATGTCTTCTACTTCAGCTGCCTCATCCCACTCAATGTGCTTTTTGTAGAAGATGGCAAAATGGAACGCCAGGTCTTTCTTGCAACATGGAAGGATATTCCCAATGAAAATGAACTTCAGTTTCAGATTAAGGAATGTCATTTAAATGCTGACACTGTTTCCAGCAAGTTGCAAAACAATAACGTTTATACTATTGCCAAGAGGAATGTGGAAGGGCAGGACATGCTGTACCAATCTCTGAAGCTCATTAATGGCATTTGGATCTTGGCTGAGCTACGCATCCAGCCTGGAAACCCCAACTATACGCTGTCGCTGAATTGCAGAGCTCCGGAAGTCTCTCAGTACATCTATCAGGTCTACGACAGCATTCTGAAAAACTAATAGACTACTCTGGTGCCCTCCGGCCACCCTGCGATGGGTGCAAGCCAAGAACTCTTAGCTAGAAGAAATTGTTTTGCCGAATAGAAGCTGAACCTAAATACACTGAGGCCACCCACCAAGGTAGTGACTAATCTAACCTGTGCTCAATTAGGCCGCAACCTGCTGGATCGTGTTAGCTTTCTGTGAACTCTGTAACCACCGCTTCAATCACTTCCCACCTCTGCCTCCTGCTGCTGCTGTCTGTCCTTACTTGTGGGCTTCTCCATTCTGGGCCAATGGCTGGCATTTTTTAGCGTAGTTTAATATTTTGTAATTGAGAGTTCGTTTCAAAGCAGAAAAAGACAAAAAATATTAAAGCAAGGAAAAGTGTCATTGAAACGTAAGCTGCACTTTATTGTTTTATATTTTTGTACATAAGAGAAATCGAGGGAGCAGTAATCATTGCTAGAAAGTGTCAAGATAGCCGGCCATCATTCCCGCACAGGCCTGGAGGAAGACAGCTACTTGCCTGCCCTCTATGGCAACCTTGCCCATCATTTGGATTTTCACTTTTTTTCCCTTCCAAGCTCCTTTCCTTTGTGATTCCCCCTGCTCTGTCTTATCTTCTCATTTGATGCCCTGCAGTTGGGAATGGTGGTCTACCCTGAGTGCTGTTTAGGTGCAGGAATAGGGCCTGTTGGTACCAAGGCTGAGAGAAATCAGAACTTACTACATTCCTTTCCCCTGCTCTGACCCATTAGTGACACTACTAAGGAAATTGGGTAGAGATGTGGGAAACAGGAACCAAAATGCCTTTCCCCACCCCCTGCCCTGTATTTGGTTTCTCAGGTCTATTTCAGAACCAAGTCATACTTTTAGAGTTGAAACCAGCCAATGCTGTTTTTCTAGCAAAGGAAACAGTAAAGGGCAGTGGGGGTATTTTTGCCTGAGGCCTGTGAGCTGTTCAGTAGCAGAGCTGGGGGACTGGGTCTCCTGAACCCCCATCAGCATTGTTTTCACTGCAAAAAAAAAGAGCATTTCTGTAAAGTTTTAATTCATTATTTTGAAGAAAAGTGCTGCTGAAAGTTATCATATACTTCAGGATACTTATGGTGAACATGCTCTATCTCAAGATGCTTGTGGATGCTGGTTTAAACACTTTAAAGTGATAGTTTTGATGTGAAAGACAAAGAACATCCAGTCAATTTGAACCACAGTTTGTTTTTGTTTTGTTTGTTTGTTTTTATTGATTATGGTCTCACATAATTGTCTTTATTCCCCCATCCCATTCCCATCCCAAGCCCCCCCATCCCCCCTCCCCCCCTCGTCCATGGCCACTGGCTAGGCCCATAGTCCTTTGGTTGATCTCTTCCCCTTACCCCCATCCTCCCTTACTTTCCCTCTGAGGTTTGAGAGTCTGATCGCTGATTCTCTTTCTCTGGGTCTGTTTGTGTTGTTCATTATTTCCTCTAGATGTGTGAGATCATGTGATCCAAGAAATAACCTTGTAAGAATCTAAACTGCAACAAGCCATAATGGTTACTATGCTGAGAGGCACATGAATCAGTCTGTAGTGAGTTCCTTTCTGGGCCAACAATTCTTTTGCGTCACAATTTCAATGCCAGATAATTCCTTATGTGTACATGCCAGCCATGATATTTCAGATCTGGTTGGTGGACAGATGGCGGTAATGCAGGTCCGCCTGTCTCTGGTTTGGTCCTGGGCATCTTTCAGCAACCCGCATCTGCTGGTATGCTGAGGCATCGTCAGCGTCTTCCATCTCTGAATTGTGTCTCTTCTGTCTTCATGGCTGGAGCGCTTCTGTCTATTGCTCTCTGTTATAGAATTCCAGATGGTCTCGGAGTTGTTTTCTGAAAATATACAAACATATTCTCGATCAAAAGTTAATAAAGGGATATTTTCTTTAAATTTTATTTGGGATTCTTTTCCATTTTTTCCCCCCAAATGATTTACCCCTGGCTTGTTTTGTCACTATGTGTGTATTTTCATGGGTATCTTGCTATTAGTGTTTCGAATGAAGGTTAATTTTCTAAAGCACAAATTTTTTAGATGTAAATTATTATCAGGATATATTTCCTTACATGATATTCTTCCACTGTCACCCCCTTTTTTACTTTAAATAATAGGAAACTTTTGGAAATTTTATACTGTGGTCTTGATAGCTTTTACATTTTAAGTTAGTTGCGCTACACTATGACTACTTTAGATTCATAACATGTTGTGCAATTTTACCGTGGCCACTCTGCCAATAAGAATTTTTGTTAACCCATTAGGAACAGCTTTTTGAACAGTACAATCAGGTTTTTTTTGTTTGTTTGTTTTTTTAGAATATTCATTTATTTCCATTAGCCACATTACTTTCCTCTGAGAAATTGGCTACCATTTATCTGTCATACTCAACACTCTAGCATCAATCTCATTTATCATGTGTGTATTAGTGGAGTTGATTATTTCCCTTCTTGAGAAGGGCCTGAGCATTCCTGCTGCTAGGTTGGACTTGGATATTAAAAACCCACTTCCCCACACCATGGGTATGAGACCTCTCAAATAAGTCTTGTTGCAGTGAGAGGGCAGCTGCTGTCAGCCAAGTCTCTGTCTGTTACCTGGGTCCCACTTTGAGCTGTGCATGGGAAGCGAAGCAGCCAAGGGGGCAGGAGACCTCCCTCAGAATGGGAGAAGGTTCAGGCGCCTGCCATGTTGCAGGAGGGGTTGGTAAGGGTCTGTGCCCCACCTCTGTTGACCCCCAAGTTCTCTCCTGATGGCCCCTCTACAACTGTGCCTGTCTTAGGTTGTTCCTTCCTTGAGGAACCTTACCCGTCTCTGGCTAACCAGCCATCCTCCGAGGCCAAGCAGGGTGATGTGAGGTTTAGTTCTGTCTCCTTGGTAGCCTATGCCCCCATGGGCTCCACACCCAGCACCTGCCTCGGGAACCCCTCACCTGCTGGCGGGGCCCAGGCATTGATCTCATATTTTTGGGAACCCATGTTTCTTTCCAGAGAGGGCCCAGCTCCCCCCACTGGGTGGGCAAGAGATCCGTGGTACCAGCCACCATGGTGTTTCAGGCTTGGCATGAATTGAAAGGTCAGGCAACAATTGTGGGCACCTGGACTACAAGAAGAGGTTCATTTTTGGCCAAAAGGGCAAGATGGGCCACTATAGAATGCTCAGGTGCCTTCCCAGGGGGCCCTCTGCATAGTGGAAGGGATGAAGTCCTTTCATGTTGTTTTTAAATTGCTGCCAGACATTCAAAGAATTGGTTTGTATGTTTGTTTGGGAAAATTGTACAATGTGCTGTTGTAATTCTAAAATATCTAGAGCTGTGTCACCTTTGTCTCCAAGCACCAGCAATATATATATATATATATATATATATATATATATATATATATATATATATATATATATATGTATATATATGTATATATATATATGTAAAGTAAATGATTTTTTATAGATAACCCATGGTACGAGGTATATTATACTTTTATAGGTAATGGGGATAACCCAGATGTGGGAAAAATTATAGTGATCTTGTAGAATAATATCATGTAAGGATATTTTTTGCTCTAGGCTAGGAGTGTCGAACTCAATCAGAGAAGGGACCAAAATCTAAAATCCAGCCTAAATCGCGGGCCGAATGGTTTACTGAACAGTCATAAACTGTCATTGTGATGGAAACGCAGCAGAGTGCAGTGATGACAGCGCAGTGCGGGCCACATTGCAAGGCCTGGCGTGACGGATTTGGCCCGCGGGCCTTGTGTTTGACACATGTGCTCTAGGCCATGGAAATTCCATTTTAAACTGGCCGTCAATTTCTTTTTGTATAGACAAGGTCTTTGTTTCATTTTCTACACCTCTCCCAGGAGGAAGGAGTGATGATCCCTTCCTTTGGTGTCCTCATCAGCTAGAAACCTCTGTTTAATTTTACACACAAAGGAACAGTGGTTTAATTCTGTGTCATACAGAAGGGGAGATGGGTGGTGACCCCTATGTAATTATACTTTTTTGTCCCACTTGTGGTCCTCCTGGATGACCAAGGTGTTTGGTGTCATCAGTGACTACTTTGGGCAGGACGATCAGCCCAGGTAAGGGCTCCCACCAGTGAAGGATTAGGAGTTTAAGTCCAGAAATACTTACCCAATAGCCCTAGGTTATATTACCGTACAGCTGATGCCCGTTAGCAGGGCAGTAAAGATGTTCTCAGGTGTTCTTGGGGTTCTGGTTACTTCACACTTCTCTCTCTCTCTCTCTCTCTCTCTCTCTCTCTCTCTCTCTCTAATATTATGTGTTCTTATCCCCCCCCTTATCCTCTACCCTTCACTCATATTCCACCCCCATGTTATCTGTGTCCATTGATGAGGCTCATATGTATGCCCACATGTCTCTTGATTTCTCCCCCTTACTCCCAGTGATCCCCTCCTTCCCTGGGGTTTGAGGTTCTGATCAATGTTACTCAGTCTCTGGGTCTGTTCTTGTTCTTCAGTCTATGCCATTCACTATATACCATAAATTAGTGAGATCATGTGATGTTTATCTTTCTCTGCCTGGCTTATTTCACTTAGCATAATGGTCTCCATCTCCATCCATGTTGCTGCAAAGGGTTGGAACTCTTTCTTTTTTACCGCAGCATAGTATTCCATTGAGTAGATGTACCACAGTTTTTTAATCCATTCATCTGCTGATGGACATTTAGGCTGTTTCCAAATTCTAGCTATGGTAAATTGAGCTGCTATGAACAGAGGGGTGCATATATCCTTTCTAATTTGTGTTTCTAGTTTCTTGGGATATATTCCTAGAAGTGGGAATACTGGGTCAAATGGCAGTTCCATTTTTAGTTTTTTAAGGAAACTCCATACTGTTCTCCACAGTGGCTGCACCAGTCTACATTCCCATCAGCAGTGTAAAAGAGTTCCTTTTTCTCCGCATCCTCGCCAACACTTGTCGTTTGCTGATTTGTTGATGATAGCCATTGTAAGATGGTGTAAGATGGTACCGCATTATTGTTTTGATTTGCATCTCTCTGATGATTAATGACTTTGAGCATGTTTTCATATGTCTCTTGACCTTCCTTCTGTCTTCTTTCGAAAAGTGTCTATTTAGCTCAGTTGCCCATTTTTTGATTGGGTTGTTTATCTTCTTTTTGTTAAGTTGTATGAGTTCTCTGTAAATTTTTTAGATTAAACCCTTATCATTGATATCGTTGGCAAATATGTTCTCCCATGTAGTGGGGTTTCTTGTTGGAGAGTTCTTTCTAGGTCAGTGAAATATGCTGTTGGTATTTTAATGGGGAGTGCATTGAACCTATAGATTGCTTTAGGAAGTATGGACATTTTGATGATGTTGATTCTACCAATCCATGAACATGGTATGTTCTTCCATCTCCTTACATCGTCCTCTATCTATTTTCTAAGTGTCATGTAGTTTTCTGCGTATAGGTCTTTTACCTCCTTAGTTAAGTTTATTCCTAGGTATTTTAATTTTTTTGGTGTGATGGTAAATGGAATTGCTTTTTTAGTCTCTGTTTCTGTAAGTTCATTATTGGTGTATAGAAATGCCATAGATTTCTTGGCGTTAATTTTGTATCCTGCTACCTTGTCGAATTCATTTATTAAGTCTAATAATTTTTTGATGGAGTGTTTAGGGTTTTCTATGTACAGTATCATGTCATCTGCAAATAAGGACAGTTTTACTTTTTTTTTTTTCCAATTTGGATGCCTTTTATTTCTTCTTCTTGTCTGATCGCGATGGCTAGAACTTCCAGCACTATATTGAACAGGAGTGGTG